CACACACACACACACACACACACACACACACACACACACACACACACGGTCGGGGGGAGGCCTGGGATCGGAATGTCAGCCAGTATCTGTGAAGGGCTGGATTCCTTCCTAGAGGCACCACTGTTGGGATGTGGTATATATACTCAGCCTATTTATGTGCTTGTGCTGTGATCATCTGTGTTCCTGAAGTCTGGAGCATTGCTTTTCTTTAAGATGCTAAATGCCTCATTGAGGAGTGAGTGACTGACCCCTGCTGCTCCTGCATCTTTTCTTCCTTCATGTTGTCTTCGCAGCTGTTTAATGATGTGCAGGAAAAGGCTATTGAGGAGCAGATGGTGGCAGTGAAGGATGTGGTCATGGAGCCCACAATGAAGACGCTAAGCGATGACCTGGTACGTCCCTGCTGAAGGCTTTAGGGGTACCTAGTGTTTCCTTTGGCTACTGTTAGCCTGCAAATGTAGAGCGCCTCCTCTACTGCTTCAGAACTGTCCTGCAGTCCTGGTACATGCCGGCATCCTATACCCTCAGGCTGAGAGGTAGAAGTGTTTTAGCTCAGAGCCAGGGTGAGCTGCTATTTAGAGAACTTCAAGTTAGCCTGGGATACAGAACAAGACTTTTTCAAACAAAACAACAAAAAATAAAAACTAAAAGAGCTGGTCCTTTGCACTAGCTTAAGTAGGTGGCATTCTGTAGGTCCAAGACAGTGTCCCTCTTACTTTGTGCCTCCCACTGAATGGGTGAGTGTGGGAACCTAGCGGTTATCAGTGAAACGTTGCTTACCCTTCCAGATACGTTTCCAAATGCATGATTGATAGGTGTGCAGGCTGTAAGAGCTGTTCATAGTGTTCTGAGGGTACCTCAGAAGGAAGTGGTTTTCCCCTGTCTCACCCTGCTCCCCCTTCTCTTGGGCTTTGCAAACTCCTTTTTGCTGACCCCTGCTCTGTCTGGACCACAGGATGAAGCAGCAAAGGAATTCCAGGAGAAACACAAGAAGGAAGTGGGGAAACTGAAGGAGATGGACCTCTCTCAGTAAGGCACCCTCCTGCTTGCAGGCAGCCAGAATCCCCTGGCTCCACAGTCTGCACGGTCTCCTACCTCTTGCATGCACATCCCACAGGCTCAGAAATTGTCTTAGGACTACTACAGCTGACACCTCAAAGTCTCTTCTTTCCCTGGGTCCCAGAGTTCTTGGTCACTTGGGTTTGTGTTCCTCTCAGGCCCCTCCAGGAGGGGGATGTTGAGCAGAAGAGCTTCTGCCTTGTAGTCCCTTCCCCATATTTGGTTTTTGTCTGTGAATTTGCTTGAAGGAGAGATTCTACCACCTGAACTCCCCGATCAGGAGTTCTGTATACGAGGCATTGCAACTCCTTTTGAGCTTTACTTGTAATGTTTCCTTTCCACCCACCCAGGGGTTGACAGATGTGACAGTCCTGGTACTTCAGGCCTTTCCCCATGACTCTAGACCAGGAGCCAGTGAACTTGGTGGCAACGAGACCATTGGTGATGGTGGTGATTCAGCAGATGGGGGTAGCCAGGGGTTATTTCAGGGTGTCAAACTGCTTTCTTTTTGATGTGCCAGGACTGCTTTATCTGAAAGAAGTAGGAGATTGCAGGGTAGGGAGGTGGAGGCCTGGCAGGGCAGGGCCTGTGGTCAGAGTGAGGATGGTGATGGCTGGGGTGGTGGCAAAAGATGATGGCAAGACTGCTTTCTCACTGGTTCCTGGTGATCCTTTTCCTCCCCTCTTCATACAACTCTTTTGTCCAGTGGGGCTACACCTCAGGCCTGGCTGTATGCCTGTCACCCTCTCTGTAGCTGTTCTTATGTCTCCTGGTAGAAAACGTCTGGTGTGGGCACCTTGTCACTTTCATATTTTTCATTAAGCAATCTTTTTTTCTGACAGGTTTTAATATTTCCCCTTTCTTTACAGATACATAATCCGTGGGGATGACGAGGAGTGGAATGAAGTTTTGAGCAAAGCTGGGCAGAATGCTTCCATTGTTAGTTTGAAAAGGTAAGGGCCTGGTGCCCCCACACATCCAGTAGGCTTTGTAGCTTTTCCTGGGAAGCAGGGGGTAGAACCAATTGCTGAGGGAAGTGTCATGGTTCCTCCTTCCTCTCAGTTGTCTAGGGCCACCTTGGTAGCACATCTACAAACCAGGCAGCATCCTAGGCTTGGATTCTTCTCTCTCGTACTCACCAGCAGGCCAAGGCTGAGTTCCCAGAGGCAGCCTGAGAGTGGGCCTGCCGCTCTGTTCTGCGCTGTACCCTGATTGCTGTGTTAGCCTCAGGACCAGGGACCAAGCTTTAAGTAATCTTTAAAGATGAAGCAACTACAGTCCAAGTGGGCAAGTAACCATGGTGAGGACAGGGCCAGAGCTGGGCCAGGTGTTTCCACTACAGAGCTTGTCATTGAGTCACTACGTGTTTTTCCTCCAAGCAGTTCTCAAAATCCTGGGTCTTAGCATTTTTTATGCCTTAAAAAAAGACAGAACCCTTTTCTATGCAGGCCCTTTTTATTGCTAGTTCTCATAACAAAGATTGAAAACTGAAAGCTAAAAATATTTGTTTGAAGTGAATAATAGTATGGGTTTGGATAAGTTTTTGGATCAAGCCCAGGGCTTTGTGTGTGCTAGGCAAGTCCTTTACCACCAAGCCAAGTCTTGAGAAAGACAGTTTTATTTTGACCAATGTCATTCATCTCTGGCATACTGGGAGCAGCTAGCTTTTGGTGTCAGCCTCTGTAGGCACTGTGGTGCCCTCCTTCCTTGTGCCTTCTGTGAAACAGAACATTTGCAAGAAACAGAGGGATCAGTATTAAAATGAAGATAGTTTTGACTCCCTTGAGGCCACTCCGGGCATCCTGGGGTCACTGAACACTTTTCCCCAAGTGCCTCATCTGCAAAATGATGCATTTGTAGTTAGCAAATGCATTATAGCCCCCTCAGGACTAGCAGAAGACCTCCTATGCCCACATGAGGCTGGCATGGCCACTTTGGGCTTGTGGGAATACTGATGGGTTCCCAAAGAGTTCTTCTCATGGGAGCATTGGGAAGGTTCTGAGCGGTGAATCCGAGGAAGTCAGGTGTTGTCCCCTCCGTCTCCTGACATCACTCTAGCACTTTGAAGGGTCTAGATGACAGCCACACCTTCCAGTAGCCATCTGTCCTGCTGTCAGCCTGTCCTAGTTTGAACAGGGTGACAAGTGCATTAGGCTCCCTCATGCTACGCCAGTGGCTTTGACTACAAAAGGCCTGGGAATAAACCTACTGTGGAGAACCCTGGCCATGAGCTCTGTAGAACGAAGGGTCCCTCAGCTCCCACTGAGACTGCTGGGAAGGAGTCATGAGACCTGCCATGCCCTGTGGCCCACAACCTCAGGACTGGCGTAAAGTATTCATCAGCCTGCTCTTCGACAGTCCCTGGGGCTTGGCGTTTTGATTTTTTTGTTTTTGAGGTTTTTGTGAGTGTTTTGCCTGCACGCATATGTGTATCATGTTTGTGTGTACCCTGTGTGTGCCTGGTGCCTGTGGAGGCCAGAAGAGGGCACCGGGTCATCTTACAATAGTTGTGAGCCACTGGGAACTCAACCCTGATCTTCCGCGCGAGCAGTGCTCCAAGCCAGTTATGGTGGCTCACATCTTTAAAAGCAGCACTCAGGAGGCAGAGGCGGGCAGATCCTTGAGAGTTTGAGGCCAGCCTGGTGAGTTTTAGCCCAGTCAGAACTACATAGAAAGACCCTGAAGATCTTGGCTCAGGAGGAGGAAGGGGAAAGAAAAAAAAAAGTAGTAGCTACTCTATCAATGATTGAGCCATCTCTGCAGCCCCCCCCCCCCCCAGCTCATTAATCTCTCCATGAGGTGCTTGATGTATGTGATGTTAATAGTCTCTGGATACTGTCTTTAGAGGGAGTCTGTTCCCAGGGCAAAGTGCCGTTAAGAGAATCTCATCCCCGAGGGCTTCCAACCAGCAGGTTGTCTGCTCAATCCTTGTGCCACCCTGGCATGAGGCTTGCCGTGACTCCCGAGTCTCTAGTACTGGGGGTTTGTGCTAGCTGATTAGGAAAAGTCAGTTAACAGCGGTGCGTCAGGAAGGACACAGGCTTTCCCTGAAGATCCCATGTGTGTGCTAAGAACTGCCTCTGGCATCACTGGGGTGAGGCCTGGGGGTCCCATGTGGTGGGAATGATCTCTGTCGGGGCACTTAGATACTTGTGGTCTTGGGACAGAGTGCTCTGAGGAGAGCTCGGGCTGCTCCACAGGGTGGGCCTGTTTGACATAGTCTCAGCCCTGCATGAAGCCTGCTGTCCCCAGAGGATTGCAGGTCAAGTGTCTGGGTATCGAGTCTGTGGGGTGAGGGTCATTTTCAGGAGCAACCTGCAGCGAGTGTTCCAGATATGTGCTGTTTAATGTTGTTGTTTCTGTCCTTGGTGTGTTTCTTTTTCTCCAGTGACAAGAAAAGGAAGCTGGAAACAAAACAAGAACCCAAACAGAACAAGAAGTTGAAGAAGAGAGATAACAACAGAAAGGAGACGAAACTGAAGCGGAAGAAGTAGTGAGGCGAGGAGGCCGGCTTGTGAACTGTGTTCAGCTGAGCCGGGCCGCAGCGAGGGGCTTCAGCAGAGCAGGCCTGTCCTACATCTGTGTGCTCCCGCTGCTCCGACAGTCTGCTAAGAACTTGGCTTGTAAGCAGCTCTGGCATTGGCAGGGTCTGTCACTCCACCCCAGGGTCATGTTTCACTTTGGGCCAGGTTTCTTTCAGGCTCATTCCCACTTATGGCTGCCGAGCTGGTTCCTGGCCTTCCTGGCCCTCCAGTACACAGCTTTCTCGGGGAGTGCTCCGTCTCGCTACAGACCTGTCCCAACACCCTGAGGCCCAGGTCAGCAGGCCCTCTCCTGTCCCTTCTGTCCGTTCCTGGCCGCAGCATGTCTGCTGTCCTCAGACCCAGGAAGCCTGAGCCCTTGAGGTAGGCTGCAGCACCTGAGCCCCAAATGCCTTCTGGGAGACTGTCGAGTGACAGCTGCTGGCAGAAGTGAGGGGAAGGATCGAGGTTTTTTTTTTTTTTTTTTATGTTTTATTTCTTTGAGACAGGGTTTCTCTGTGTAGCCTTGGCTGTCCTGAACTTTGTAGACCAGGCTGGCCTCAAACTCACAGCGATCCGCCTACCTCTGCCTCCCAGAGTGCTGGGATTACGGGCGTGCACCACTGCGCCTGGCCTAGAGTATCTATTTTTAATAAAGGACATCTTGGAAAAGACCGTTTGCCTCCAGTGCTTATAAAATCCATGTGTGCAAGTTACATACTTCCTTTTTGCACACTTCCTTGTTTGTTTTGGTGAGTTTTGTCTGCCAGGTCAAAAGTGGAGGCCTAAGTGTCATGGCCATCGGTACGCTGTGTGGGTAGAGCTCTGGCCTAGGCACCCATGAAGGATGTGTCAGGTACCCAGTGGCACTGTGGCCACCTTGAATGTTAGCTGTCTCCTGCCGGGTTCTACCGTCCACCCAAATTGTTAGAGACAGAAATTACATGGTGGCTTCACACAGGCCCAGTCCCCATGTTTAGTGGTGTCCACACTATAAACCACACAGACCCTTTGTTTAGCACTAGTTGGCGGAAATCTAATAGACCAGGATGGAAGGAAGCAAGCAGCTAATTAGTTAGCTTCAGGACCAACAGGTAGTGAGCGAGTGGCCTACCCAGTGGGAGAAGAGGCTTGGTGCCCAGCCGAGGGCTGCACCCTCGCCACTTGTCTGCAGAGAAGCTTGCGAGGAGACAGGAAAGGGCTCTTTTTCCCTTTTCTCAGGTAGCCTCCTGAGCCTGCCATTCAAAACACTGGAACACAGGTGCTCAGAAGAGTTGGGTAGCTTGTACAGCCTGCCTGGTGTCCCCAGCTCCTGAAACTGCTCCCTGGCTCTGTCCAGGCGGCCCGTAGGAGCTTGGCTGTGCCCTGACCCTCTGAGATCTTGGGCACTGTGTGGTTCAGATGTCCGCAGTCTCCATGTGGAACTGTAAGAGGTAATCTGTTAGAGGGTTTTGGGTTAGCGTGAGTAGGCCCGTTGGAAAAACCTGCTGTGCCTCAGGTGAGCCTTCCTGTCAACACATGGAGACACCCACTCAACAGTCACTACCAAGTCACCAGATTCTGCCTCTCAACAGAACTGCAAGAAATCAATGTTCTTAACTTCCTTGTGGGTTTTTCAAGATAGGGCGTCTCTGTGTGGCTCTGGTTGTCCTGGAACTCACTTTGTAGACTAGGCTGGCCTCAAACTTGAGGCCCACCCTCTTCTGCCTCTTTAGATCCTATTCCGTCTCGGATATTCTCTTACAGCAGGGTGGTGTGTGGCCTTACCTTGCTTCAGGTGCAAGCAGGTCACAACTGAGCGGTAGTGATGGCATCCACGTGCCCCCACCATGAGGAACAGTGGGCAGAGGGGAGCAGGCATTCCTTAGAACAGTGCCCAACTCATGACAGTGGACCCTGTCTGGGTTCTGGTTGCTCCCCAGGTCTAACCAGGGGAGCTACTCAGAGATAGCCACTCCAGGATGATAGAATGAGGACTGGTCATATTCTAAAATAGTCTCTGAGCTAGCCAGAGACTCAAAGGGGTGGCAAGACTCCTAAGCCTGTGCCCTGCATTTGGAGGTGGCCGGCTTTAAGTCATAACTGGGTTGGGACAGGGTGCTTCTCAGCTCGACCAGGATGGCCTTTATACAGGACAAAAGGAAGTGTGTAGTCAAGGTCCTTTTCAAAGCGTCCTGTCTTTCCTTCAAACCTGAAAGGGCATGCCTCCTTCGGACCTCACCACCTGGTCCCCAGCAGAATGACCGTCTGTGAAGCTCTTCTCTCTCAGGAGATGGGCCAGCTCCACATATGTCACCAGGATGGGGAGGCAGCCGACAGGATTTGAGCAAAGAGAGGGTTCCTTCATGATCTCCCCAGCCCTAATCTATGAGGGGCCGATGCCAGCCTCTTGGACTGTTCCCACTGCTCAGCTGGTCTTGGCAACCCCAGAGGGTGCTGGAGTGACCAAGAGACACTGTGTGTGTGTAGGCCAGAGGGCAATGGGTGTCCCACTCATCACCCTCCACTTTATTTTCTTGAGAGAGGGTCTCTTACTGAACTAGAGCTAGGCTGGCAGCCAGCCAGCAAGCCCCAGTGATCCCGTCTCTAGCCCACATGTGCTGACTGGGGTTACAGGGTGCATGTGGTTGCACCCCGCTTTTCACATAGGTGCTAGGATCTGAACTCAGACCCTTATGCTTCCACAGCAAACGCTCTTGCCCATCTAGCCTATCTCCAGACCTATCTTTTAAAAAATGATTCCATACAACTCTCGCACCCCTGCAGAGGAACAGGTTGGAGCCAGTTGTAAGCAGACCCACCTTTTTGGCTGGGAACAGCTCTGCTGGAGATAGATCAGAGACAAGCCCTCAAGGGTGGACACTGCAGACCTCTGATGCCCCTCTATACCTCAGAGGGTGGTTCTGAGGACTGCATCTCCTTCCTGCGGCCCCCAGAGGGCACTGTGGCGCATGTGCACACACTCCTCACTGCTGAGTTGGGAGGTCCAGGCTGAAGCTCAAGCCGCTCTGCCTGGCCTCCACCCTAGCAGAGTGGGAAGTGAACCTTTCCTGGGACTGGTTGCTGGCGTCTACCTTCTTTCAGGTAGGCAAGAAGTGCTACTAACTAGCCACTAGGTTTCCGTTAGCAGTAATCTTAAGAATGGGGTGAGGGGTAGTGTAGTTAGCAAAGATTCCTAACTTGAACTGGCCTTGAACTCAGGACCCTGCCTCTACAGGGTGCACCTTACCAGACCATGCAGTGTGGACCTGGGTTAGGGTCTGCAAGCGCGTAAGTAGCTTCATCATCTCATCCTTATGGAGCAGCCTGGGCCATAAGGTCAGAAAAAGCCACAGACAGGCCTCCCCAGTCAATCCTGTTTTCCCTAGCCCAATGTCATATACCATTTTTTATCTGCCTCATTTCCTAGGAGAAGAAATTAGCCCATCGGAAGAGAGACTCAGATTTGACACCTGGGCAGGTGAGTGGCTCTATTATGGGGTTTTCCTGCCTAGTGGCACCAACAGTGGGGCTTCTCGGCAGCTCTGAACAATCTTCTTTTAACAAGAGCAGACACCAAGGTCATTGTTAATGAGTGTTTATTGTTGGTAAAACCATGGTACATTTACAGTAAGTGACAACGTTAAGGTATAGTTACAGTATCATACAATATTACAGCAATAAAATACCACTCATTCTTTTGTACATCCAGCACAAGCAGCAAGTTGAAAATATTTTCCAGGATTGTAAGCCCTGGGGGCTTCTGATGAATAAATAGTTCCTAAGGTAGCTGTTCAGGATGCTGTCCCAGCGTCTGTCCATAAACAGGCCAGAGGATGGGGAGCCAAGACTGAGGGCAGGAGGGGACACACTTCTTCCACCAAGACCCTGTCTTTCATGCCCAAGAGTCACAGATCCCAGATAAGAAGTGTGCTCTTGCACTCCAGTCCTGAGTGAAAGGAGCCTTGCCCTTGAGAGGCCACGAAAAGCGCTGCTGCCTGAGCCTACAGACACGCTAGAGCTAGGCCGGAAGTCCTGGAACCTACCCCTTCACTTTGGCTGCTAGCTGTAGCAGCAAGAGCTGAGGTCCTTGTGTTCCTGGACTGTACCCATAACGCCCTCAGCTCAGAAGCTCTGAGCTCAGACTCTAAGTTAGTAGTCTTGCAGGGAAGGCCACTAGAGGCCCCGTCTTCACAGACGGGGGCCACCAGCCCTTTCAAAGGCACAGCTTGGAGGACAAGATTTGGAAAGCCTTTTCTCTGTGGCATTTAGGAAAACAAAACATACCAGCCATTGCATCCAGTGACGTGGGGCTCAGGATGCATTCTCTACATTCCTAAGAAGGCCCATGCTCTCAACGGCCACAGCCAGTGTGGGTAGAGCTGGAGCTGAGGTGGGTCGGCTTGCTGCCGAGCCCCTGGAGGGGACAGGGCACGAGGTGGCCCTCAAGGTGCAAACTGTCACACTCCCTTGCCAGTTTACCGGTTGAACACCAGTGAAGTGGGTTCTCTGTCCTCCCAAGGATCAGTCAACACCACAGAGGGTTATCTGGGGGGAAGAGCAGGAAGTGCCCCCGTGAGCCTAGCTCCTAAGGGCCTACAAGGCTCCCTCCACTGGGGTGGGGGGGGAGGTGTCACTGGTGGCTGATTCTGGCCTCAGAAGACCTTTGCATACCCACAGAGAGCAGTCAGCCTCTACCCTGCCTCACACCCGAGAGGTGACGTAGACAGAATGCACTCGCTCAGCCAGGGTGCTCTGAAGGTCCTGCAGTGGGTCCAGGCCCTGGACTTTGCTGCTTCGGCCATAGATGAGCTGCCGGAAGGCATCCTGCTCCAGCAGGGCCTTCATGTGCTTGAGGAAGAAGCCCTCACAGAATAGGGCCAGCTCTGGGGCATTGTGGATCTGCGGGGAGGGAGAGAAATGAAGCCCATGGCCTTTCTATGGCCCTCTCCACCCCCTAAACTGGCTCCACCCTTCAGATGTCACTACTCACAACAGGGCTCAGCTTAAACCTGGGGAGATGTCCTTGCCTGCCTCCTGAAGCTACCTTCCCTTCTGTGAGTATCTCCTGGGAATGCCTGGGTCAAGTCTCCGTTATGTCACCAAGAACACTACTGAGTCCCTGACCCCAACCTTTTCCTTACCTATGTCACAAATGAAACCGCTCCTTTGCTAAGGGTGGTGGCTATGCATTGCCCAGCACGAAGCACATGGGTGTCCTGGGCAATGCTCCAAAACTGTGCTAATTCAGTAAGTGTGCTAATTCAGGCTCACACTTGGAGCTGGGCAGAGGTATTAAGTCCCTCTCGGGCTCTCTTGGAACTAACATTCTGGGACAGGGAGGATAAGACCCAAGGAATTAATGAGACAAGTTAGGTGATTACAGATGGACAGTAAAAGCTGGCAACGCCTGAGGCCTGGAGACATAACTTGACGGAGACACAGGGATGGCTGGTCTTGAGAAGTGCTTTACAGGAAGAGGGAAAGATTGTCGCAGGAGCCCTGGGCAGGAACAGGCTGGGAAGGGAAGTGAGGGTGGGATGCCGGGAGCCTTGCCAAGCTTGCTATGGGCCGGCGTCTAGTAGTTTGCAAGCAGCCAACAGCGTTGGGCAGGCCAAGTAGGGGGATGGCATGGTTTCATACTTTAGAAAAAAATACTAGCTAGACAGAATGTGGAGAGACCAGGAGGATGCTAC